ATTTATATAGCACTTCTCATACCAGTGGCAGCTCAAAGTGCTTTACAGAGAGGTGATAATTGTCATGCATCCCTCAGAGGTCTCTAGGGACTCCATGTCTAGAAGCAGAATAACTGAAAGAGTCTCTCCACGTTTTCTGTGTTTTACTGAAGGAGTTCAGAAGGTCAGAATCTGCAGATCTGAGATCATAAACAGACATTCAGGAGCTTTAAGGTCATTTAGAGCTTTAAAAACCAGCAGCAGAGCTTTAACCTCTCTCTAACAGATCCAGGCGGTCAGTGCAGTTCTTTTAAAGCGGGACTGATCTGATCTCTCTCTGTTGTTTTTGTTAGGATGCTGCTGTGTTTTGTATGAGTTGTAAAGGATGTATTGTTCTCTTAGAAAGTTCAGTAAGAAGATCATTACAGTGATCAACTCTGCTTGTAACAAATGCATGAACAAGTTTCTCTGCGTCGCTCTGAAAGAGAAAAGGAAAAGGAAAACTTTCGCGGCATTTCTCAAATGATAAAAAGCTGCTTTAGTGACTGTTAGTTTTTTCCATTATGGAGGCAGCTGCCTAACTGGTCACTGCCTTCAAAGGCAGCTCTCTCTTTAGGGCAGCATGTTAACAGAAAAGGAACCTTAGTAGGCGTCACATTCGGGACACTCTCGAGAGCCATCATGCGTCATAACTTTCACTGTGCTGTACACATTTTATCTCTTCACTCTCAGTCGCTTGTTAACTTACACTCACCTCTGACTGTAAAGGTGGATCATCTCAGTGAACACAGGCGGCTCCGTAACTGTTTTCCTGCTTTGACTCTGGTGTGGGAATTTACTGTGTTTGAAGAACCAGCGGCTTTAACGAGTCGTATCTGTCGTTATATACTCGACTCGGCGCCCCAGATAAATACAGATAATCGTGACTGAGCTACTAGTTTGTGAATCATTTCAGTTTATTCTCTGTCCTCATCCACCTTGAAGAACCATAAAGAGGCATAATAATTGAGGAGTCTACATCATAAAAGCACTTACCTGTCTGCTGTCGACACAACTTACCTGTCTGTTGTTTACTACTGTTATATCCAGTCAGGCCTGGTGCAGAACCTTCTCTGTGTTCTTGGACAGGATGCTAGACCCTGGGCGGTTCAGGTGTAATCATCCCCTCAGTAGAAGGCCAGTAGCTCCCAGAAAGCACTCCAGTTACTCACATAGCCAATGTTCTTGTTATGCCGAACTGTTGTGAAGAGTTGTTCTTCATCAGGGACAGAATTCTTCTGTGATCCATCACAGTCATTTTCTGTGGGCTTCTGCCCATTTTGGCATTTCTGATCTCACCAGTGCATTCCTTATTTTTAAGAAAGTACTAAGTAATTCGTTTGGCCACACCTTATATTTTTGCTTTTTCTCTGATAGGTTTGTTTTCAGCCTGATGATGATTTGGGCTTCATATTGAAAATTATCAGCAGATTCCAAATGCAAATGCTGCACTTGAAATCAACTCTAGAGCTTTTATCTGCTTGCTTGTAAGTGAAATAACACACGTGGCCTTGGAACAGTTTTCTCATATCACTTTTAAGGCCCTAAAATGGGGGAGGGGGCGCTTTGTATGAAAACAGCTGTAATTATTACACCGTTTTCATGATGTTTAAGCTGCAAGTCTAAATTTTGAGCTGCAAGTCTAAATAACTCTCTTATTATTATCTCTTATTGTCATCTAATAGCTCTTATGTATTTAGTTTTATATATTTATTTATACATTTATATTGTCTCTATGGAACTGACAGTATATATTTACAAGATATTTATATTCATATATGCATACTAGATTCAATGGGATAAACTAGAGTTAGATGGCCTAGAACGAGAATCAAGGATATGAGCATAACCCAGGAAGAGCTCTTTAAAGGTTTCTAGCTGGTGATGTACAGATGAGAGTCAAACATAAAAGAAAACATGACAAGGAACACCAGAACAGGACTGGAGTGCAGGCAGGCTCTAGATCAGGAACTCACACAGAAAGCAAACAGAACACATCACTGCAAAGATCATAACACCCAGTGACATGTACTCCACTCTAAACCCCACTACCATATTTTCTGATTAGGACAAGGAATGAGTCCGAATTTAAAAACATTCAAACAGTCATAAAAGTGCAAAAAATAATAGTAAATTAAATGTTCTGAATATGCAAATAAGTTTTTCTCAAATGTTATACATTCTCATATTTAACACAAGCTGTCTCTATGCTCCACCAGAGGGCAGTGTAGAGACTGTGTATCACACACTGTTCAGAGTTTCCGTGTTTAGTTGACACACGGATGAACGAAACTGACTGCAGCCGTCTGAAGGCCACAGCAAACCAGATTCACATTGCCAGAGGGTCTCTGGAACCGGGTAGCAGACAGAACCTAGCTATAACACATACTGGGAGCCACAGACAGAGGCAATTTAACCTGTTGGTGCGCTCTGCGGCTCCAGGTGGTCACAGTCCCATAGGGTCCAGTTAAAATCCATGTAA